AATAAGCAGTGGTTTTCTATACATATGTACATATATATATATACTGTATATGTATATATATATATTTTTTTTTTTTTTGTTCCAGTAAGCAGCAGTTCATCGAGAGTACTAGTACTGTCAGAGTACTGGTAGTGTCAGAGTACTAGTACTGTCAGAGTACTAGTAGTGTCAGAGTACTAGTACTGTCAGAGTACTAGTACTGTCAGAGTACTAGTACTGTCAGAGTACTAGTACTGTCAGAGTACTAGTACTGTCAGAGTACTAGTACTGTCAGAGTACTAGTACTGTCAGAGTACTAGTACTGTCAGAGTACTAGTACTGTCAGAGTACTAGTACTGTCAGAGTACTAGTACTGTCAGAGTACTGGTACTATCAGGGTACTGGTAGTGTCAGAGTACTAGTACTGTCAGAGTACTAGTACTGTCAGAGTACTAGTACCAGTACACCTGTCCATCTGCAGCTCACCTGTGCCCTCCATGGGGGAGTCGACCCCTTCTTTGTCGGCCTCTCCTGGCTTCGACATCCTGATATCTGTCACAGGAAGAAGGAAAGAATGGGGAGGAGGAGGAGCTGTCAATCAACCCTGAGACAAACATGTGTGAAAGAGCTGAGCACGAAGAACGAGAGGTGAGAGAGGATGTCCAGGGCGTTCGAGTCTGAGTGGGTTGAGTGTCATTGGGTCACAGAATGAACCCACACCCTGTACACACACACACACACACACACACACAAACAGCAGTGTGGCTGAATCATCAACCACACAAGAACTCAATCTTTCCTCTCATCGGCGGGTGGATGGGGGGGCCCCACCCCTTCCTGGTTAACGGTGGGCGGGGCCCCCCCCCCCCCCCCCGCCCCCCCACCTCTGTTGCGTTGGTGATAAATAAAAGGAGGCAAAAATGATTATTTTGACAAATGTTTTTAAAAGAGAGTGAGACCTGGAGCAGGAGGGAAACAAATCAAGAGTTGATGAACAGACAGATTAACAACTGGTTTATTAGAATTTATTTATAATTATTTTAAACTTGTCAAGGAGATATTTAGCTGTTTGTGATTTTTTAATAAAGATTGTATCAAAATGATTTAAATGCATTAAAACGTTTAATAAAACATTAAACAAAAGACCAACATATAAATGTTTAAATCAAAAAATTAACAATGTAATATTACATTTACACAATTAATTATGCTTTATTTAATGCAATTATATGTAATGTTAACTTTCTTTTAGCTCAAATTGATTTGTTGTCCATCTGTAGAAATGTTAATGCTTCAGGATTTTACACCTTTAATTTTATCATGAAGTATTTGTTACGATGCTGCAGGGCTGTGTAGAGATACTGAGACAACAGTACAAAATACTGCAATATCGACATTGATGCAACTGAGATACTACAGTCACAATGACATATAGAGCCCCCCCCCCAGTGTCACTGTAGTCCCAGTGTGATCCTAGTCTCAGACTCTGCCCCCCCCCAGTGTGATCCTAGTCTCAGACTCTGCCCCCCCCCAGTGTGATCCTAGTCTCAGACTCTGTTCCATCTGAACATCAGTTCCTAACTCTGGAACAGAGGGATCTACATTTGGAATCACTAGAGAAGAAAGAAAAGAACAAGAACATGAACCAACACCAGGAATATTGGAGAAAATCAATGACTGATCAATGACTGAGGAGATTGATACGGGATCAGGAGAGGACAGATGAGGAGAGGACAGACCAGGAGAGGACAGATCAGGAGAGGACAGATGAGGAGAGGACAGATGAGGAGAGGACAGATGAGGAGAGGACAGATCAGGAGAGGACAGATGAGGAGAGGACAGATCAGGAGAGGACAGATCAGGGGAGGACAGATCAGGGGATACTTCAGTTCACTCTTAAAAATGTCGTCTCTTCTTCACTGCATTATCTGCACTTAATATAAAAAAAACTAAAAATATTTTTAAACAAATCAAATTACATGTTCAAAACATGATATGAAGCCAAAAATTTGACTATTAACAATTAAAATGAAAAAAAGTCTTTAATTTGTGCTTCTGTCCAATTAAATAAAATCAGTTCAGTATCAGGAAACAAGTGTGAATTTGTTCTTACAATATTGTTTTTTTTTGTTTTTTTTTACTGGCTTTTAACTTAAAAAAGTTTGACTTTTTTCTGTGATCAGTGAGTAGACGGTGATTCTCTGTAGTTTCTGACTGATTTCTGCTGCATCATCAGGTCCACTTCACTCCCTGATGTTTTACCAGCCGTCTCCAAACGTCTGTTAGCCTCAGTTAGCCTCAGTTAGCTTCTCACTACAGTTGATGTTAATTATTAATAACACGGGGACACGTTGGTCGTTGGTCGTCCGACCCAGCAGGACATTTTTTACCTTTAACTTCAGCTCAAGCCGACGAGTTGATAAACACAGTGTGTGTGTGTGTCTGGTTAATGTACACTAACATGGTTAGTGTACATTAACCAGACACACACACAAAACATGAGGGATTTATTTAATGGACTTTTAAACAGCACACACACACACACACGCGCGCGCGCTCACAGAGAGAAGGGAGAGAAAGAGAGAGGGGGGGGGGGGTACTTCCCTTTTATGAGAACATGCAAATCTGTCCAACCATGAACTAATTATATCTGCCACCTGCCCCCCCCCCCTCATCCCCCCAATCATTCTTTCAAACATGAACAGCAGCCAACGGTCCACTGGTCAGACTTGGCTTTGACCATCAGAGGGCAGCAGTGGTACATGGATGAGAGAACGAACCTGCTCCGCTGACCACCACTGACCCGGTGCAGGGCCGGGGTCTGATGAACGAAGCCCCTCCCTGAGCGAGTGACAAACGGCTGTGTTTCACTGAGACAGATGTAAAAGCCACTGATGTTGATCAAAGTGCAGACTTTAGAGGAAGTGGTCATTTCTTCAGCCTCCACCACTTTATTAATACGCTTCACTCTTTCACACAATCATCTTTAAACTGACTGTATTTATTAAAAATAAATAAAAATCATAATTTACTGCTTTTTTTCTTTCAATCACATCATACTTCAGTGTATTGGAAAATCTGGAGTCTGAAATGCCACACACACACACACACACACACACACACTGCAGGAATTCCCTAACAGGAAGAAACTTCTCCAAAAACGACTAATTAATGACCATGATTGTGCAATCATCCATAAATACCACCGGGGGCAGATTCTTGGTGTTTACAACATTTCTTCACCTCTGACTTCGGGGGAAGAGCTTCAGTATCAGTGGCATCAGAAAAGTCCAGCATCAGCCCACGTTACAACATCGTGACATCACTGCTCTCACACCCTGACCGGCCTGTGGCTTAGTGTGCGGCACTCGAACCCAGGACACCACCAGTTCACCAAAGAGCACGGGACAGTGGGATTTGATTGATGGTTAGAAGTGGCCAACAGACAGTAGCATTGTGGGTAATGTGGTCAGTTATACAGTGCGGGGACAGTATATCAAGTCACTACGTCTTTCTCTCACTTCCTCTCCCGACTTCCTCTTGAACTGTAGTGAACGTGGCGTCCTAAAGCCAACACTTACTGTCAGCGTGGCTATTAATATTAGCCCTCTCTCTCTCTCTCTCTCTCTCTAACCCTAACTCTCTCAGACGCAGCTCTAGTTGTATATGACACGGAGCAGAGTTTCATGTCTTAAAGGCTTTTACACCTGGAAGACACGGCCGACGACGAAGACGAGGAGTCTTCAACAAGTGTGAACTTCTGCTGTCTGTCTGACACTCACACACACACACACACACACACACACACACACACAGTTAACCTGGTCAGTTAGTGCTGTATAATCCTGTGTCATGAACAGATGATGCAACACAAATCAAGAAGAAGAAGAAGAAGAAGAAGAAGAAGGCTGTGTTCTCTGCCTCGACTGTTTCTGTTTGTCTCCTCTGGGTATTTTGGTCAAAATGAAACCGACTCAGAACCTGTCCACCTGTCATCTCCCCACTTCCTGCTTCAGGATGCGACCCCAGGGCCACAACTGCTGCCTGAAAACTGGATCCATTACAACAAAAATCAGAACCAAAAGAATGAAAGAATTTTAAAGATTTGAATTTAGAACATTTACTTCATTAGTCGGTCCAGACGTGTGACAAGAACGGTGAAATGAATGAACGCCACATATTTAAATTAACAAATTTAAACGTTCATCAACCTAAAGACGAAAGAGAAAAATCTGGAGTTTTTTCAGTTCAACTTGTAAAACAGTTTTAGAACTGGACTGATGTTTGACTTTTAGTTTCAGATTAAACCAGGAGATTTTATTTCCTCTCTGGTTATTTTAACATATTAAACATGAAGTGTGTCTAAATGTAGCTGGGCCTCACACACACACACACACACTTTTTTTTACTGAACAAAGTAGTTACATTTATTTGATCTGATTGTATTTATTCTTTTTTTTTACTGCTTTACCGTTAAATTTGTAGAAATGAAAAAAAAAATCCTTTGAAGATTCAGACAATTTGAAGATCAAACATAAATCCTCAGGGACAGTGGAGCGATATTTTAATTTGTCAATTAAAAACAACTACACAAACATGAACTGTACCAGATCAAGAACGGCTTTTATTTTCTATATCATCAACAAAGTGTCGATGAAACAACCTGACATCACAACCATGGTAAATAATAATTAGACTAATTAGGATTGGAGCTCATTTAGAAATCAATGCAGGAAACGTCTGCTGGTAAAAGAAGTCCTGAGGGTCCACGGACCACCTGAGGGTCCACGGACCACCTGAGGGTCCACGGACCACCTGAGGGTCCGCGGACCACCGGACCTACACCACACTGGTCTGTTTCCATTTAAACTACAACTGGAAGAACGCGTTATTCAAGGGGAATTCTCTTCAGGTACTGGCACCAGAGTGACACCTGAACGCACCGTCAGCAGAGTAACAGACGAGGTAACGGAGTACTGCAGTACACAGAGTACTGCAGTACACACAGAAATACTTCACACAACTTTACCAACAGGTTTGATTAACATTCAGAGTACGTACACACACACACACACACACGCTGAGACGGGCCATGGACTAGAGAGGTGTCTGACCTTTTTCACTGCCTGCGACATCCATCCATCCCTCCATCATCCATCCATCCATCATCCATCCATCCATCCATCTCTCCACACCACCTCCTGCTCTTTGATGCGCTCTAATTAGCTGAGCATCTTAGACCCAGTGGCATTAATCAACAATGAAGACACACTTTGGTCCTGTCTCTCTCTCTCTCTCACACACACACACACTCACAGCTACATGAAGCTTAATTGCTCTGCGTTAATGAAGGCCAGCAGACTGATTTAGCTGAAAAGGCAGTCACTCACCTGGCAACCACATACTGGAGCGGTCCTTTGATGCTGTGTGTGCTTGTACGATGTGTGTGCGTGTACATGTGTGTGTGCTCTCTACGTAAAGTAAAACTCTCTCTCACCAACTCAGCTTGTCACCAAAAAAGGAGGAGTGTATCAGTGTATCAGCCTCCCTCTCTCTCTCTCTCTGTCTCTCTCTCTCTCTGTCACACATGACCACACCCCCCAAACCAACAGGAAGTAAACCTCAGCACACACCAGAGAAAAACAACAATATGAAACAGAACAGAAAGGAGGACAAACAACAGAGTGGGAGAGAGTGAGATTGAATGGGAGGATAAAAAAGGAGGGGAAGTAGGAAAAACTGATCGAAATTGATTCTGCGGCTGGAAACACACTCTCTCTCACACACACACACACCAGAGACCTTTTGTGGCTTTCACATTGTCACTGCATGTGTCAAATTATTTCGAAGGCCGTGCAGCATGAACTCATCTGTTCACACGTTTTTCCTCGTAGCTAAGCAATTCTACCAGGCAACAGTTGCTAGTTTGGTGTTAGCTTTAGTCACGGCCGTCGGTCGTCACTCTCACCTGTGTTCGCGGTGCAGCGTCTGGCAAACACGGTGGGTGTGTGGCGATCTGCCGGAGGAGGTGAACTCCGACGACAGAAGACGTGAGGCATCCTCAGTTTGTTCACGGCTACGTCGAGGGAAAAACTTTCTCCACGACATCGATGAGCCACCGCCGCGGCCTGTGAACAGCCCACAGGGTGACAGGCTCCTGTGGCGGTGACTAACAGTGGCAGCATCTTAATGGAACATTGTAGAAAAACAGAGTGTAACCCGCTGTATCAGCGACACCCACTCTGTTAATCACATCAACCGACGCTCGACATACTGAGAACTAAAATATAAAAGTAACGTCAGCAAAAAAACACTGCGTGGATTCTCTTTAAATAAACACAAACGGAGAAAGAGGCCAAAGAACCGACTAAAACACCCGGTGTCCCGCTTTGAACGGCGCTGCGGGGCTTTAGGACATGTTTTTAGTTGCTCCACATTCATATTTGCTAGAATATTCTGTCCTGACACGTTGTGACGTCACCTATATTTAGTGGTTGTTAAGAAAGTAGAGCCAACTGTTTTTTTAGGGCTCAGCGACGTCTTTCAAACCGCGCGAAAGTGCCAATCACAGGTTGACTGTATCAATCCGCCCCGTATAGATAGTTCTCGATGGACGGTGTGTTTTCCTACTTGTACGACGAATATTCTATGCTATAATTAACGACACGGGAATTCCTTAATTTATAGGTTAATTTAATTAATTAAATTTAATTATATGACAGTTCCCGGGGACACGTACGGAGCTTCACGTCCAAACTACTCCGTAACGTACGTGGTGAAGTGTCAGTGTTCTTGACCGTAGGTTAAATGGCTGTTAAGCCGCTGGTGCGACACGTTAACGTGAGATATTTGTCAAAAGCGACTAAAAAGTAGAGAAAGTGCAGGTTAATTTTAAACGGAACATTTTCACCAACTGACTGAAGCCCAGGAGGCCGTGAAGTGACTTAGAATTCAGTCGATAACAGCGGTGAATGTGACGCTGCTCGCTGAGTCTGGTTTGATTTTAATAAATTACGAGCCTTGTTTTTGGATTAACATTAGTGATTCATTGTTAAATGAATAATACTAAAAAATACTCTCCTGTATTTTTTAAAGACTATATTAAATATTTGTCGAAAGTATTATTTTGGTGAGACTTAATAAAGACGGAGATACAGTTTGTAATTCTGTCTGTGTTTTTTAATCTAAAAAAAACACTTTCTGGTTTTAATGACGTGTCAAATTAAAAACAAAAAGTCTTTGTGGCACATTTTCTTATGTGGAATCTTAATGACAATATCACATTATTTAAAGTAAAAAAAACGAATACGTTTATATAATATTCCATGCAGAAACACGGTATTCTGCCTCATCTTTTTACCGTAACGCACAGCACGTTGAACACGTTTACACAGCTGCATTTATATATATATAAAAAAGACGCAAAATATTTGTATTAAAATCCGAGACATGTCGTTGACCTTCTGAACGGTCACTGACAGAAATACACTGTAAATAATCATCAGTTACACTATAAAAATGTGACACAAGTCAGAGTTGATTCTGTTGATATTTAAATTATTTTTAAATGTGATTTAATTCAGTTATGTTTCTGTCATTTTCTGCTGCTACCGGACCAATCGGGGACAACATTAAATCAGGGTTCAGTCTCAATCATTTCTAAAATTACAACAAACACACGAAATACGACGCGGCAAACCACGGTGTCCGCGTGTCTCTCAAACGAGTGGGCGAAACAGCCACAAGGTGGCACTCTTGATTCTCTAATTTGGTAAACAGCCGCGGAAGAGAGAGGGGTGGTTTCTGTCCCCCCTTTTTTCCTCCCTTTGGTGGAGTTGGCTCATCTAAAATCTAACGGCAGCAGAGTTTTTTAAGGTTAATCTAATTAATAAACAGGTGTTGATTTGACTGACGGCGATTATCTCTCACACAACTCAAAACAGAGACAGAGAATTTTTACATCTGTCCTCCGTGACACACACACACACACACACACACAGCTGTCAAATACATGGGGATATGTATTCATCATTAGGCCACAAGGAAATATATAAATCTATAAATCTATAACACACTCCTGAGGCCAATGAAAAAAAATCAAAAAATCAGGATTGACCTGAAATCTAAACGTGTTTTTTTCTTTTCTACTGCATGAAAACAAATGGTCTGTTTGAATGTTTTTGGACAAGAAAAGACCCCCCCCAAAAAAAAGTCTCTGTCTTAAAAAATCAATCATTAATAATAGTTATGATTTTTTTCCCCCTTTAGGAATATTTTACATTTGGAATTTCGTTTGATCATTTGTTCGATCCATTATTATTTTTTTTTTCCATGAAAACCATTTGTTCGATCCATTATTATTTTTTTATTTCCATGAAAACGTTGTTTTATTTATTGTGCACTGGATGATTTCACAGATAAATATATGTTGACCAAGAACAAACGACCTGAGGAAGTTTGTTACACTAACCTCAGGTGAGTAACTATTTTTATAGTAAGAATAAAGAAGATGGAATGAAAAAATATAAAAAATAAACAATTGTTTTATTTCAAATTAAAAATTATGTTGAACCCGAAATAAAGAAAAAAGTGTCAAACGTCCATCGACGTATTTAATTCCCTCTGTCTCTGCCTTTGTGATATTTTCTTCTTGTATTTTGTGACATCGTTAAAGGGTGTGTGTGTGTGTGTGTGTGTCCATGTGAGATGGAGTGAAGCGACAGGCCGACTCTGTCAGAGGACAGTGACAGACTGCGCGTTAGAGTGGGGGTGTTTTTCTGGGTCAGAGGTCGTCTGGACTGCCTGACTTTGGCCGTGACCTTTGTTCACAGCCAGGTCTCCCCACATAACTGCCACAGTGTGTGTGTGTGTGTGTGTGCATTTGTTTGAGATGCACTGGAGTGTGTTAACGGTGCGTGTGTACGAGGGCGGCTGAGAAGACGGCGGTGGCGTCAGGAGGAGACCAGAGTCTAAAGAGTTACCTCCAGAACATGAATATGTGACTACGTTTTCATTCTGGTTCTGGGAATACGTGTGTGTCACGTTAGAGATAATAAACACGTACAGTACATATACATGGATATACAGCCAGATAGTGGGACCCCTGGGAGGAGGATGGGGGAGGCGCAGGCCTCCGGAGACCCATCAATCACTTCACTGTCAGGGCAACTTAGAGTGAGAAAAATAGGAATTGGTAGGAGAAAGGGAAGGAAAAAGGGTGATGGCCAAGAGGAGGAGTGATATTGGAGGGATATTGGCAGGGGGAGAGAGCCGGGGGGGGGCATTATGAGGACTGAGGGATGGCCAGAGTGTGTATAATGGCTCATTGCAGGGACTATTCTGAGGTGTCCAACGCCGCTCAGTGTCCCTCCCCAGCTCGGCCCCAGGCCTGGAGCTCACACCACCTCTAATTCATATAATCCATCATATTATATTCCTCTCCTCACAGAGGGGGCGTAACCTAGTCCCAGCAGCAGGACCCCGTCCTACAAGGACAGAGACCTGGAATCCAGCGCTGTGTGTGTGTGTGTGTGTTCAGCTCAGAGACTAAAGAGTTTTTGTATGAAAAGCAGAAGGAGCTAAAACACAATCACAGTGTTCGCCACCAGGGGACACACACACACACACACACACACACACCTGTGACAACACCTTCCTCTCTCCTCGTCTAACACTTCTCACTCGCTCCTTTCTCCCTCTTTTTCGGCCTGTGTTCCTCCCTTCTCTCACCCTGTCCTCCCCCCTTCGCCTCCTTTATTCCGTCACCCACAGGGAGTCCGTCTCGTCTAGACTCACAGTGAGCTCTCCCATGGTGCTTCCAAGGTTGAAGCTCAATTTTTTTTCCCCACCAATTCTATCTCTTCTTGTTCCTCCTTCTTCCTCCTCATCTGTGTCTCCTCCACCTCCTGCTACAGCAGAGGAGGATCCTGGGCCTTTATGAGCGGCTCAGGAACACTGAGACCATTGTCTGTTTGCTGCCCACTCGTTCCCTGTGTCACCTTGACCTCTTCATCATCTGCTCCTCTTCTACTCCTCTTCACCTCCACCGTCATCCTCCCGGTCACCCAGTCCTTCTCACTGACCGTTTCCGTCTCCACGTCTCTCTGCCTTTCTCAGACCTGCTGGTCAGCAGCAGCTGTGACATCACCGGCCACTGTTCTCCACTCGGATTGGACACTCGACCACGTTGCCAGGCAACAGCAGCGAAAGGTCTTAGTGTGAGCGTGTGTGCGGCTAGTGCACGTATGTGTGTGTTTATGTCTGTTTATGGCTGCGTGAGTGTGAGGTGTGCCTGCGCTTCTCCTGGCCGTGCCCTTTAGCTGAGCATGAAGAACGATCAGAGCAGATCTCCATCTGTGCTTTACCCCGGACCGGGGCATGTAGATAACTGGGCCGCGTCACTGCCACTCCTTCAATACAGAGGAGACGGAGAAGAAGGAGGAGAAGAAGGAGAAGAAGAAGAAGATGAAGAAGATGATGAAGATGAAGAAGAAGAGTGCCTGTGCATCGTGTTAATGAAAAAGAACGATGGAACAAGAGTGTGTGTCAGTGTTTGCACTCGCCTCAAACCATATAAATGCGTCTTTATGTGTAGAATAAAAGTGTGTGTGTGTGTGTGTGTGTGTGTGTGTGTAAGCCCCCGGGAGAGGGTGGTTATTGTATCTGACACAGCGGCTCTTTCTCGCGCCTCATATTTCTGGGCCGATCGATTCCTCTGACTCCCGACAAGACAATAATCGCACCTCCCTCTCTCACTCCATCACTACCATTATTACTGACCTCCCCAGGGAACGGAGCGGGAGGAGGGAGGGAGACGGGGAGGAGGAAGGAAGGATGCGAGGAAGATGGTTGAGGAATGAGAGCGGGACATAAAGTTGACAAAATGAGCCGATGATGATAAAAAAAGCAAAAATGGACGACATTGAAGCGGCGGCTGGAAGAACCGCCGTGGTGGAGAGACAT